ATACTTAAAATAAACATCTTAAAATAATTAAAAAAAAAAAATATATATTTAAAAAAGAAAAAAAAAAATATTTTTTTTAAAAAAATTAATAATAAACAAGTATGAATTTTTTTTTAAAGATTTTATTTTTTAATTATATTGTATATAATATTTATAAATTACAAATTTTTTTAAAAAATATTTATTATTTTTTTTTTCTGTAGATAAATATTAATTCTTTATTTATTTATATATTAAAGGTATACATTAAGAAAGAATTAATAGCTCTTGGATACAAAGTATATAGCAAGTTTAATGCTAGCCTATCCATTAAAACTATAATAATTTTAATAAAATAAATTTATATTTAATACATTTTAATATATAAACTACTTTATTATTTTAATTCCAGAACATAGCTCAGACTAACATGCTAGTAAGTATTAATTTTAAAAAATTAAAAATTTATTTTTTGTTTTTTATTTTTTTTTTCTTAAATATATTTATATAAATCTTATATTTCAACAAGTCAATTATAGTCTTATTATAATTTGCTTATAATTTAAATAAAGAAAATATCAGTATTGTTTCTATAGAATAACTCTTAGTATATTTTAATTTGAATTTGTATATAATTAACTTATTTATTATAAAAAATATAAGAGTTAGTAATATATGTATAATAACAATAATATATAAAAAATATAAAATTTAATAATATATAATAAAAATAATATATAAAAAATATTAAAAACTTACAATATGCTTATAATTTGAATAATTTAATTAATATAATATTAATGCTTAAATTGAATTTAACAAATTAATTCATTAAAGTTTTTAATATTTTTATAATTTTAATATATAATATGATTTATACTGAATTAAAAATTAATATATATGATTATTTTTAACTAATGTAAATATATAAACTAGTATAAAAAACATCACTAGAGTTATATTATTATTATTATTGTAGATAATGTCAATTTCATATTATCTTTGTCTTTTTGCTTTTTTTTTTGTAAAAGTTTTTATTAATTTTTTGTCTATCTTATTATTGTATTATAAAAATAAATAGAATTATTTCAATATTGATCTCAAAAATAGAACAATAGTAATATGCAATATCAATACAAATCATTAAATTCAAAAAAAATTAAATAACACTTTTTTAAATTTTTTCATTAGTATCCCAGTCAAATTATTTCCCATCTGTTTGCAGATTATGATATTTGGAGAGTTGATCTTCCAAGAAGAATGTATTTAATTTTATTGACACAGCTAGTGCAGTGATATGCACTGTATTCTATAAAAAAGTACAATATGAGCATCATTATATATTATGTAATATATTGTACTCATCAATATATTTTGAATATATCTTTTAATTCAGTTTTTTCTTGTAACATTTCTTTAGTGAAAAAATATTTTTGCATTCATTTACTATTATTGTCTTGTCTATATATATCTGAAATAATGAATATTCAAAAATAATAATATACTTCCAACTATTTCAAATATTTTTGAACAAATGCTCAAACATAAACTGAAATAACAAGTAATACACAAATTTGATCCAAACTTTTAACAAACACTTTGAAGAGTTGTCCAAAATCCAGTTCAGTCTCCAACTTAGTGTTATGGGCTATTTGGCAAACCCACACTACTTGTTATCACTTTTCTGGTTCACAATAAGATAAGTCTCCAATTCTTGAATAAGGATCCTAATAATTCTCTTCAATTCTGTATTTGAATCTCAAGTTTATATTAAATTTAATAGGTGAGGTATACCCCACTATTATTTTTAATAGTGTTCTGAACCTCATGTGATTCCTTGCAATTCTGTTTAATTCCAATTTTCAGAACCATACTCTTGAGATGTGCTTTGATTTGATCATTCTCTCACTTTAACTTCTCTACTGACTAATCTAGAACCCTTCTAATGCCAATTCCCTTAGGCAACTCTCAGTTCTCTCTTGTAGTTGCATAGCCCAAGTTACAAGTCTACTTTGGCACACTAAATACAAGGTAAGAGTTTATCGTTTTTTACTTAAGGCGTTACTAACTCTAAAATAAACTCTCTAAATGCTACTGAATGGCGCAATGCACCTATTGTTTACATGTTTACACCTGATCGCTATTCTACACGACTCTAGAAATTTCCGTCACTAAACTTTCCCACCTAATTTCCCCACAATCCACGACAACAGGATGACGTAACGTGATATCGCGTTGTATGCCTGTGCCGATTTTACCCATAACATTAGCAATATACTTGACAAAGGCACTTAGTGACCACTGTGAGGCAGAGACACTTTTAAAAAATTCATGAATGCAACGAGCATTCTTATCTATCTGATACTTGAAGAATTTGATTGCTTCTAGTCGTGATTCTCTGACAATCGCAGTGTCAAGATGAAATCGCGTTAATACTAGGGATAGGGAAACGGAAACCGTTTAAGTTTATCGCGTTTTTAATATTGTACGAACTGTAGATTTTTATGGCCAA